TTCCTTCCTTCCTTCCTTCCTTCCTTCCTTCCTTCCTTCCTTCCTTCCTTCCTTCCTTCCTTCTTCCCATCCATCCCCTTCCCCCCAATCGTACTGTTAAACATTAAACTTGTATTTAAGCACAGTTGGATGATCTCTTCTGTCTCCAGAGCAATATGAGAACAAGCCAAATGAAACGGCACAAGCCTGCCAATAGAGATGTAACCCAGTTCTGAATGGAGCGCAGATTTTGTGGCAACCCTTGAAAAACAGCAATTAGAAAAGGTTCAGTGCTGCTTGGCATCCTCCTCGCTGCCTGAGCGAATGTTATTTGCTTTGGAGGAGAGAACCCCTGGTGGGATCAACACATTTCCTTGAAACACAAGACACTTCTCCGTAATTGTAATAGCATGCTTTACAGCAACGTCTTTGGCATAAAGGAGATTCATTAACAACAGAAGCTGTCTTTTTTAAAAAAAATTCCAAAGGTCGGTTTACTCACTCAAGAAAAAGGCTGTCTAATTGAGGGGCAAAATTAATTTTAAGCACTTTGCAAACAAAGGGCCCAAAAGAAAGACTTCATAAAGAAGTTCTTTTCGTCCCCAAGCAAAGTGACTAAGAGACATTCACAGTAGAGCCTGTAGATCTGCGTTTCTCAGCCTGAGGGTCGGGGGGGGGGGGTGTTTGGGGGGGTATCAGAGGGATCACCAAAGACCATCAGAAAATACAGTATTTTCTGTTGGTCATGGAGGCTCGATGTAGGAAAAAAGGTAAAGGTAAAGGTAGTCCCCTGACATTAAGTCCAGTCATGTCTGACTCTGGGGTGTGGTGCTTATAAAGGCTCGTATATATGGCCCCAACAATATATATCTTGACAGGGGGGCAAACAGATCCCACCAACTGTCCCTCCAATATAAAGAATTCACTGGCACCAATATAAATGTTATGAGGTGATGTCTCTCTAATTAAACTTCCGCTGCCACCATAAACTGTAATTGTACAGGAACACTCTAGCTATTTAAAATATTAAAATTACTTCTAGGACCACCAAGCACTGTGTCTTCTTATTTGCTTCTTTAAAGGAAAACAGGTGAGGTTGTTTGAAAAGAACTATAGCCACAAAGGCACACTGGACTCAGGCTTCTTGAGTTTAAAAATAATCAAGGAAAGTTTATTGATGGAATACAGAAAAATAAGTACTGTTTAAAACTTGGCTGCTACATAGAAAATTCTGGTTTGTGTTCAAAGCTTAATGGTTACAAGTGATGGCTCTTTCTTTGTTACAACATAGAGATTTTCTTCTCTTTATAAACCAGTACACTTGACAGGAACTAAGTCTCTGTCAAGATACAACTGTAGCTTAGCTACCCTAAACTGAGGCCTAGCTAACTACACTCCAGCTATTTCTCCTAAATAGCTATTCCCAGTTTGCTACAGCTTACTTCGCTGGCAAACCTAAGGCAAACTGCCTTCTCTTAACTAATCTTAAAACCACGAACTCCTAAACTACCTTCCTACTCTAATCCCTAACAGCAACAGAATGACTGAAAAAGCCCTCTTCTTTCCCTCCAAACCTTCCAAAACTCCGCCCCCTTTTCTGAACCAATCCTGGCTGTTCTAATGCTAACTCAGGCCTAGGACACTCCCCCTCTCTAAAATGGTGTTTGCCCTGAACTAAAATGGCTCCTGCTGCTTTCTGCCAGGCCCACTAAAGCTGCAACTAACTGGCCTGATTCTCCTAGGCCCTGCCATCCAGGCTGGAAAGGTAAGGGATCTTTACAGGGGGTATAGATCAAATAAATAAATTTAGTAAGTCCAGTGCATACTTAGTACACACATAGTGGTATACTGCTCAGAATAGTTCTGAGAATTTTTCATGTTTAGCAAAGTGAAAGTGGAGGTACAAATTTTCCCTATGAGGCAAAATTCCTGACATTTCCAATGCATGTGCACTAATTTAATAAACTAAGTTCCTTCATAGTAATTCTACTTACCATAGAATTAAACCGCAATAGTAGCGTTGATTAAACTGTACTTATTCAAAGCTAATTGTGTTTCTTGATGTATGTGAAGTAGGCTGTGCTATTAAAAATGTGCTTTGAAAGAGAATCTTAAAAGCACTAACATAGCAATTTGCTGCTCTCTTTAATTGCCTTAGCAAATTACCTGCTGAGAAGACATTAAGTTTGAAAATATTCCTAAAATCCAGTGGCAGTTTTTCAACAGTACGTGCTTTCTCTTTGTTAAAGAACAGTTAATGTATATTAGTTGCTTCAGTTTAAAGCTGCTAGGTGGTTGTACTTCACTACAATTAAGTGTACAAGATGTCTTGTGCACAAAATAACTAGTAATTATAGATAACTACCTGTGTAACATGTACAATGTAATTATTTTCAAATTGTTTTGTTATAAAGATTTAGCATTGTGGAGATGTCCCAATTTTACCAAGTTACTTTTGTGGTGTGTTTATCAATGCATATGGAGAACAAATTAAAACAGTTTTCTCAGTAAGAGACTCATACAGCTTAACCATTTACACACAAACTTAATATTACTAATTGCTCCATAAGGACTTTACCACTTTCAGCATTTGCGAACACAGCACTGCAGGTATTAAACTATTCCTTAAGTTTTCTGTCTTTTAAAGAAGCAATTGCATCTGCTTTTGTGAAAAGGTCTAGCATCAATGAAAACTTTGTTTTTCACCCCTTGGAATTGTATATGTACCAGGATCTGCTGTTTGGCTCCAGATATTTTGGAAATTTGAGACTGAATTAAAGTGTAGGGGATTCTGTTTTCCAGCCAGGAGAAGAGGTGGATAGTTAAACAATGTTTTACTGAAATGACTATCATAATAAAGAGTGAACTGGACTAAAGAAATGTATTCTGAAGACAGACTAGAAGGAAAGCCAACTGAGGTCAACTCTCACTCATTACATTTTGAATATGTGTTTGTATGCATGCTTTTGCTATACCGTAGAAATACAATAACCATAAGGAACAGACCTTTCCAGAGATCTAATGTTAACTGTGCTCCCCAATAGCTGGTGCTCTTGGTAAATGAGAGCCATCAAGGTCTAGTGGTTCTCAACCTGTGGGTCCCCAGATGTTTTGGCCTTCAACTCCCAGAAATCCTGACAGCTGGTAAACTGGCTGGGATTTCTGGGAGTTGTAGGCCAAAACACCTGGGGAGCCACAGGTTGAGAACCACTGGTCTAGTGGTTTGAGTGTTGGATTAGAAGACCACAGCTCAAATCCCTGTTCAGCCATAAAAGCCCACTGGGTGATTTTGCCCAAGTCACACACTCAGCTAAATAGGAAAGCAATGGCAAAGCACCTCTGAGTATGTCTTGCCAAAAGAATTATAGGATAGGGCTGCCACAAGGTTGTCGTAAGTTGGTAATGACTTGTAAGGACATAACAACAGCAAATAATACAGGCATGGTTTGGGAACATTTGCTAATGCACTGCTTCTGAAACTGTAGGTCCCAACCCCAAATTGGGTCCCCCTACCTCACAGTTGGGGTCCTGAAAAATTTGGCAACAGTAAAAGTTTTCTGAACATCACCTAACAGCTGTTTCAGAGATTTACATGAATCTGTTGTGCAGTGTACATAGTGAACTCTGCTGTGCTTCATAAAAAGGAAAGCCAGCCTGTTTAGCAAGCCTTGTGAATGCTGGTTTGTTATAAGCAAATGTTTGAATTTTATACCTATCTTATATATTTATATTCCAGGGTGTACATAAACATTTCTTGGGCCGAGTCATGAGTGGAAAAGTTTAAGAAGCCTTGTGCTAAAGCGTGTTGGATTTTCCCAGTCTTAGTACTTGATTAGTTCTGCAGTACACTGTTGCAAACCACATGCCAGAAGTGTCCTGGTATCTTGTCTTCAGCTAGCATATAGATGCAGACATAATGCTCCAGACCACCATTCACTAACATGTGTACCCTTTTTCATGTATATTCTCTTTCCTATTGAGAGTTTCACATTCTGGTGGGCTGTTAAGGTCTTCATTGATGCCAATGTAGGCTTCTAAAAAGCTTGATTGCATGGGCAAATAATTGTTTGGGATTGGTAACTTACACTACTGCAGAATATTAGCCATAAGTTGCCTACCAAGGAATGATTTAAAAATTCCTGTTGTCATAGTAGAACGTCTTATTGCTATTGGTATCTTGGAGAAATAGAAGAGACGTTCTAACCCAGGACAACTTAAGACTGAATGATTGGGAAGGCCTGGACTGGAAATAAATTTGAAATCCTGCAGCTGTTTCCCTATCAGTCCAGACAGTATTGATCTACGTTCTGCACAAGGCAGACTCCCATGGAATCTAACTTGACAATTCTAAGTTCACTGAGTTTTGCTCTTTTTTTTACACAGAATAATCCAAAGTTACATTCTGAGGGAAGAAGCCGGCACCCTTTCATCTGAGGCCTCCGACTTCAACAAAGTACATTTAAGCAGACGTGGTGGGATCATGGCCTCTCTCTACACATCACATCCAGCAGACAGTGGGCTCACGTTAGAACTCTCCCTGGAGATCAACAGGAAGCTTCAGGCAGTGCTGGAGGATACTTTATTGAAAAACATTACCCTAAAGGTGAGCTTTTAAAAACAAAATTTGAGCAATATATACATGGAGAAAAAAACCTAAAGAAAAAACCTTCAAAAAAATCACTGAAACATGGTATTCTGTTTGCTGTCTTAACATACAAAGTTTGTATCATTCATCTAAAAGTATTAGTAACAGCAGG